TCGTGACGTGGCTGCTGTGGACAGATGAGAAGTCGCTTCGAAAGCTATGTGAAATTGCAGCTAATGGTCATAGACCGTGTCACGGAAGAAAAAAGATGGAGTTGTGATGTGACTGCTGCGGACAGATGAAAAGTCGCTTCGAAAACCTTGAGGTGGAATTGCAGCGATCGGTCGTAGACCTTTAACCGGAAGAAAATCGGGTTGTGACGTGACTGTTGGGCAGACCAGAAAAAGTTGCTTCCAAATGATGGCGTAGAATTGCAGCGCGTGGTCGTAAACCGTGTCATCGGCAAAAAATGGAGTAGTAATGTGACTGCTGCCGGCAGAAGAGAAGGTATTTTTGGAAGCGATGTAGAACTGCCGCGATCTGGTCGTAGAGCCCGTCAACGGAAGAAGATGGAGCAGTGATATGACTGTTGCGGGCAGACCAGAATGATCGCATGCCAACGAGGGCGCCGAAAAGAAGATCTTGCTCCGGAAGCGATGAGGTAGAATTGTGGCAATTGATTGAAGGCCCTGTCACAGAGATGGGAGAGAGAAGTGACATGACTGCGGGCAGAAAAGAAGTTGCTCCCGAAGCGATGGTAGAGTTGCTGCTGTTGGCCGGAAACCTGTTATCGAAACCCCATTTTTCTTCCGTTGTACGCTGCATGTCGACGAACTGGGTGCGGATACAAGCCGTCCGCACAAGCGGCCCGAGTAATGTCGTCCATGTCGTAATGTCGTTGTCGGTGTCGGCCGGAATGCGACGCCCCCCCCTGGAGTGGATAGTACCAAACCTCCGACAGGTGAAGACGAAGCCTTCTTCCTAGAGGCCATCGGCTGGATGGAGTGGATAGTACCAAACCTCGACATGCAGCCTCAGGGGCTAGGAAGGCATGAGATGGCTCCTAGAGTGGATAGTACCAAGCCTCGACAGGATCCGATCGCGAATATATATAACACAGGACTGTGCCCAACTGGCCGAGCGTGTCTGCGAACGTTCAAACGTAGTGGAGAGGAGGGGGGGGAAGGATCTCGTTGCGAAAGGGTGCTTGTCGCCGGAGTTGCGTGCCATCGACAAATGGCTTCAATGGGGATCCGAAGATCCGCTTGTCAGCTTCTCGATGCGCCGATCGATCAGTTCCTTCAACGCGTGAAGGGACTCCAGCTCCGTGGGCGCCTGGGGCACACTCCCCGGAGCTGAAGCCAGCAGCGCATCGATGAGAAGGTTGGTCTTGTCGGATTGAAGATTCTCGATGCCCGGTTTTGGTTCGCAAACGAGACCAGATTGTCGATGGCTTCCCGGTCTGCAGCGGAGCGGGAGCTCAGGATAGCGCTTTCTGCATCCGCAAGAAGAGGCGCCTGTGGGCGAGCAGCCTCGTAAAAGGCTGTCGCGCGGTCCACGAGGTCGTCCACCTTCTTGCGGGCATGGGCGCTATACTGAGCTGCCCCGGCAGACCGTATTTCCGCCTCCAAGTTCTCCCGTTTGACCCGTTCGATAAAATTGAGTTTCAGGCCACGCTCGGAGACCCGGTATACGATCCCCTGGGATTCCTGCTCTTCGAGCTTTTCGGCCTCCCCATCCTCCGGCAGGACATCGACATCGATGACACGAGGGTGCCTGGGACGCCGGATGCGAGTCTTTCCGGCGTACCCGCTGTTGTCCATGTGCACCACGTACAGCTCGTGCTCGATGTGGTTGGGGCACATCCAGTTGTGATATACCTTGTCGCTGCCGTGTTTCTGGTTCGGCGGAATCGCCAGGGGCGGGTCGACACAGTCCATGTGCCAAGAGCATGGACAGTAGTCGCATTGGATGATGGGGCGCTTGCCGTTAGACGTCTGGCCGCAGGCAACGCACACGATGAGTCGGCCCTTGCTATCGTACAAGCGGCACAGGTACGACTCATCGTAGCGGCCAGATCGGTTTCCCTTGGGGCGCGGTCTAACGTTGGTTGCCACCTCCTCATACACCCCGTCCTGCCCTGTCCGCACGCCCTGGAAGTAGTCCCGGATTCCCGCCGGGAGCTGGAAGTCTCGTTGCGGCTCCCTTGAAAGGTTGTTGAGAAGGGAGCCGAACGATCTCCGCGTCACGCACGACGGGCAGAACCACTCTCCCTCGGGGGGGATTGGCTGGGTCCAGGGGGGGGATCCAGGCAGGAGAAGTGATAGGAGTTGACACACCCATCACAGCAAATAAGCTGCCCAATGCGACCACACTGCCGGCAGGTGTCGTTGTTCTCGAGGACTTCACCGCGCGTGGAACGCGAGACGCGGGAAGGCTCCTCGATGTCGGCCGTGGAGGAGTCGTCTCTGTCAACGCCGCCCAGCTCGGCGTCCAGATCCAACGACGATCGAATCTGGCTTTCCCGGGCGACGGGGAAGTGCTGCGAACGAGTTCGCTTTGCAGCTGGAGCTTCCTCGACGCCGCCCGGGATCTCCTCCAGCGGGCGCTTCTGACCGGCAATGTTGCTT